AACTCCAATACTGCATCCACTCTAATCCTTCTTGGCGTTAGTTTCTCTCTCCCTTTTTTATTTTGAGGTCTAATTTTATTGTTTATGTTATTTAATTTAGCCATAAAGCTGACTGAAGTTTAGCTGCACGCTTTCGGTTTTATGACTTTTTTTTTCTGATTTTCTTGTATGCTTTGTTGGTAGAGTTGGGAAATCAGAAGATCCATTTGTTCCTATTTTTTAGTGTAATTTATCTTCAGTTATTTTTGTGGGTTCTTTTCAACAAATGGTGCTGATTAGACATTTACTTCACTGGTTCAGATTCTTTTCATCAAGTCCAGTTACTCCTGTATGTGAATCACAATGTTTTTCATTCTTCTTTTATTTTTATTTTTTTCTCTTGTCATGTGTAGCTGTCAAGGCTAATTAACATAACCTGAACTAGGAGAAATCTCTTCCTGAATGAAATCTTCAACTGCAAATCGTTATTTTTCCAGGTTAAATGTTAGCTTAGGGTTCGTTCTAGGAAGTTTCTTCGGACTGAAACGTCCTGGAGCAGAATTCCTGGTTATACTCTTTATTGTTCTGCATCTGATCACAAGATATCAATTTGATTCCACAGTTCAAGCAGTTTTATTGGCTTTTCAACACTATATTGTGATGCTTGGAACCACGGTATTAATTGCCCGTTCTCTTGTGCCTCAAATGGGAGGTGATAATGTAGGTCTTTTCAACCTTTCTGAACTTCCTAGTTTATGAATGTTATATGCTATTGCCTTTTGATTTTCTCAATCTGGTCTCACTATAAACAGCACGATAAAGCTGTGGTCATTCAGTCGTTGCTGTTTATGTCGGGAATTAACACACTGCTTCAAACACTTATTGGCTCAAGGCTTCCGACAGTGATGGGTGCCTCATTTGCATATGTCCTGCCAGTGCTGTCAATAATCAATGATACTGCTGATGAGAATTTCACTTCTGACAGTGCGGTATGTGATGTTCTGATCAGATATATACTATGTATAAACTTAATGGGTAAGAACTTCGTACAGAAATTTAAAAAAAGAGGTATAACAAGAAAATTTTTTTAAATGTTTGCATTTCTATTTAGTATTTCGGAAATTTCATTGGTTACAGCTTAGGGGATTTATGACTGATAAAGCCTTTTTATAGAGTTCAGTGAGCTATAAAAAAAGGTTAGATTTTGTAACTGCATATTTACAAATCTTTGTCATTGTGAATGATCTTGATGTAAATGCGTAACCCAAAATTCTGGGATGGCAAAGTGTGCTTCATCTTTGTAGCAGATTGACTACTTTTCTTACTAATTATTTGTCATTTATTGTCTAAAATATGGTGTTTTACTCCTAATCTCATATCATCTTTTGTGTCTTTATCCACCATATAACATAGTTGAGCCATATGCTCAGTTGATTCACTTTTGAGCACATTGTCTCTGGCATTCTACCAACTGGATCACTTAATGTTTATGGTGTGGGTCCTTGCAGCGGTTTCGTGTGACAATAAGAACTATTCAAGGCTCACTAATTGTTTCTTCCTTTATAAACATCATTCTTGGATATAGTAGGACTTGGGGGGAACTGACAAGGTTAGAAATTTTGAATATCAGTTCATTCTACCTTTATTCTTTTGTAGTGCTTCTCCTTTTATCCTTAAGAGTCACCACTTGAGACTTTAAGAGCCAATTGTTAGGTTCTTGTTAGTCGTTAATATTTCTCTAATTGTTGTCTCTTTGTGTTCATGCTCTTCAGATTGTTTAGTCCTATAGTTATTGTGCCAGTTGTTTGTGTGGTGGGTCTTGGTCTCTTCTCGAGGGGTTTCCCACTGGTAATTCTTTTTGAATATACTCCATTTCTTGGTTGGATCTTAAAATTAAATGGTGGATGCCATGTTCTGACATAATCAAAATTTTCAATACAGCTTGGTAACTGTGTAGAAATTGGCCTGCCAATGCTGATTCTGTTGGTCATTTCCCAGCAGGTAATGTAAACTATTCAAGTTCTTCTGTTATGCTTATATTTTTCTTTGTTAATGTTATGAACTGTTGAATGTTTTTGCTGCAGTACTTGAAGCGTGTCATCCATGAAAGGGGCCATTTGACTCTTGAGAGGTTTGCTTTGCTTCTCTGCATTGGAATTATCTGGGCTTTTGCTGCTATCCTTACTGCTGCTGGTGCTTACAATAAAGTTAAGGAACCAACTAAGCAAAGTTGTCGGACAGATCATGCTTTCCTTATGTCAAATGCTCCTTGGTATGGTCTTGATGCTTGTTTAACTGAGTTCCTCTCCATCTGAAATTATTATCCTTTAATTGATAAAATATTATTGCTGTCATTTCTGATGTAGGATTAAAATTCCATACCCATTTCAGTGGGGTACTCCAATATTCAGGGCAAGCCATGTGTTTGGTATGATGGGGGTAGCACTTGTTACATCTGCAGAGGTTCAATCACTGTTTCAGAGAGGATGCCAATTTAATAATTATAATTTTTGACAATTCATTTTTCAATCTGCTTTGAAATTTGGCATACAATTAACCTTTCTAAGATTCGCTGTTCTCTTCTAGGCTTCAAAGTTATTGAAGTATACTTAATTCACTGTTATAGAGTATAAAACTCTAATCTACTCCTTGGCGGAGGATAAAAATAAGCTGTTAAAAACTTAAAATAAATTCTTCTTATGGGATAAATCATTTGCATGCAGTCAACTGGGGCATTTTTTGCAGCAGCTCGACTTGCTGGTGCCACACCCCCTCCAGCTAATGTGCTGAGCAGAAGTATTGGCCTACAGGTCATTTGACAGTTTGTTGTGTATTTTATTTATCAATTATTAGTTGTACAGATTAAATAAAATCTTTACATTGTTTAATCATCATAAATCATAAAGTTGATTGCTTCCAATGCAGGGGATTGGTATGCTGCTTGAAGGGCTTTTTGGTTCTGTTGTCGGTACCACTGCTTCTGTGTAAGGAACCCTTGATTTTCCAAAAGAAATACCATTGTTGTTGAGTTTTTTTTTTTTTTAAATTTTTTTTTATCAGCTTCTTGATCAGTAATTGTTACCACTGGCAATCACTACTAATAGGCAGCATAACAGAATGGAGAAATTTGTTCTGCTCACTCTTCTCAATGATGTTGCAGAGAAAATATTGGCCTTCTTGGACTTACCCACATAGGAAGCAGAAGGGTGGTGCAGATTTCAACTGCTTTCATGATATTCTTCTCCATATTTGGTCAATTTTCACACTTCCATTCTATATGGCATTTTGAAACTGAACTTGCGCTCAGTTTTATCATCTCATATCAATTTTGTTACCTTCTGTTTGTTTTAGGGAAATTTGGCGCTTTCTTTGCATCTATTCCTCTGCCCATATTTGGTGCCATATACTGTATTTTATTGGGTATTGTTGGTAAGTGACATTGTTGTTGTGATGGGTTTTTATATTCAGTCTTTT